ATCAATTCCTTAAATCAATAAGAATGAATATAAATATATATAATATTTCTTTTGTAATACATTCTGATTTTTATTGGTTCTATTTTATGATAACTATATACATATCATTATTCACTGTTTAAGAGACGACCATTTAAATCTGGAAAATCTAAACTGGTTTTAGATATTTGAACTTTTTTCACACACTGCCATCAATATGATATCTTTGTAAACTTTTGGGATTTTTCAGATACATTTAAGTTACCTTTGAGTCAGAATTTTTTTAAAAGTCTTATATGATATCTATTTTCACGTTTGATTCATACAAATTCTTTACTTTCGAATGGCGGATATCATGATAAAAAAATTATTTAAAAATTATTAATATTCTTGGCTTATTTGATTAATCTCTTATGCTATTTTATCTTTGAATTTATGAATTATTGTTAAAGGGCACTCTCAGATAAAAATTTTCCATTCTTCCCTACGTTCAACGTATGACATAAAGAAAAATTATAACTTTTCATATAGGAAAAAACAACAGTTTTCATTTTCTCACAAATGAGAATCTCCCTTCTTGCTTTTTTTCCTTATTTCTTTTATATCTTTGGAATTTAATCCACTCCATCTTTAATAAGCATTCCAAAAGTGATTTATTTTAATTCGGAAAGCCTAGAACCAAGCTAAATAATATATAAATTCTAAAGGCCACCTATACTAGACCTAAATGAATGAGATCATCAATAAATTAATATAATTTGATATTGTACTCTTTAAATAATATCAATGTCGTAACTAGAGTTTGGATGTGCTTGTTGTGCTAGTTTGGCTAAAAATCTGGCAGTTTTTACTGTATGAAAATGTAAATTTCCTGCTTCTATATTGTAAGCTAATTTGATTCGATTTAATGCTGAAATTGTTGATAAAGATGGCCTAAATTATTAAATATAATCATCAATTTATTTGATTTTGGGCTCAACTTCGGCTTTATTTTATTTTAACCATTGAAAAAATCATGTATCTCATAAAGCCTTCTTCTCAAATGAATCCTAAGATATTGGAAATAGCATGGAATTTGCTTTAAAACTAATAATATCATAATTTATAGTCAAATTTTATATAAAAATCAATTTTTAGCTTAAACATATTATTAAAATGTTTATATCACAGAGATCTTTAACTTTTACAAAGATTTTTTCAAACAATTTATTCTTTTTCAATATCTAATTTACAAATTTCAGGCATCAAAAATTCAAAATCTTAAAGCTCACTTGCATTTAATTTTAAATTTTAAGAATCTAATTTTACTTATTCATTCATCTAATAGATTTATATCTATAGTTTTGAATCCTTGTACTAATTTTCAAACAATCCTCTAAAAACAATCAAGGTTTGTTAATTAGAAATTTCATATATTCTTCGTAATAATTATTGTTATGAATATTTATTATTCTACCTTAAATTTAGGCATTTTATTTTTTAAATTACGATTAAAATGAATTTAGTACATATAATTTTTGCTGTGTTTTTTATTTTTCACTAGTTTTGCCTTTCCTGTCTATCAGCCAATTACTTATTGATATATAAATAACTTATTATAATGTTAATAATCTTTTTCCAATAATTAAGTATTGATAAATCATTCACTAAATAATTCTTCTTAAAAATCAAAGTTATCTCTAAAATCTTATAAACCCTAATTTTTGTTTTGTTTTGTTATTGAATTGCTTTCAATTCTTACAATTATGTATCTAAAAGTTATAATTTACCTATCCTATTTGTTTGTTTCATTTTATCTTCTTCTAATTATGTTTTCAATTTATTCATCTAGTCTTACAATTTTTATTATCTTTATCTAATCTTTAATTACAAGAGGTTTTAAAAATCTTAATCGTTTAGTTCTAAATAAGGATGTATTTAACTCTTTTAATTTTCTATAAGTGATAACATTTTAATACTAAATATCTTGTTGAGACATTCCGATGAGGAGAGGTTTAATAAGGACCTTATAAATATGGATGATTTGGAGAAATACTATAAAAAGCATTGATTAACCATTCTCTATTTTTGGAGTTTTTCTGATTTATATCCCAAATTTTGTTCTTATCCGAATATTTGACTTAGCTCTCTGTATAAGTCAATTTTCGTAGCGTTTGTTTATCAAATAAACAATTTTAATATCGGCCTATTCTAAGAGAAAAACTTTATAAAGCCACTCAAAGAAGATATTCACTTATTACACATGGTGAATAAATCTAAGGCAAATAATACCCTTTTAACTTCAATCTTGTATCCACTTGTAGTGATTATTTTTTCTATCAATAAATATTTTTTGAAGTCCATAAATATTATTGCAATTAAAAATTAAGAGCTTGACATAAATAATTACACTCATTAATTTCGCAATCCAAAATGTTGGTAATAAAAAAGAATCAATAATTTCGAAAAATAGTGACTCTTTAGAAATCTATTAATGTATAGGGGGGAATAAGTTAAAATGGCTTTTAGGTGTTTAAGGTGCGCATGGGAAATGTTAATTAATTTTTGTTTGGGCAGTTTATAGAAAAGCTAATAGCAAGTCAACTGAATTTTATAAAAATAAAAAATTCGTTATTATTCTGGATAACTGTCCAACTCATTAAAGTAAGATGATAAAATAGAGATAATCAGATAATATTAATTACTTATTTTTAGCTCCTTATACTCCAGAATTAAATCTATTGAAAAATTTGGAAATTGTTAAAAGAGTAGATGTATAAAACTTAGCCTTGTGATAAATTTTAATTATTCAGAGCAATATATGTAGTTACGATGCTTCAATAATGATTATGTAATTATATGAATATGAAATAAAATGGGTATTAAACTATAAATAAAATTTTTTATTGATTTCGAGTATAAGTGATGCAAATGAAAACAACTGATGCGATTTTAATAATAAATATTGGTATCTGATTTTGAGTGAAATACGGTTAAAGTTTTTCAAGCTAACTTTGAGTTTTAGGAGATTTAATTACATGATAAAATAAGATTTAATGGTGTTCTACTAATTTTATTCACTGAAAGTGAGTGTCTATAAATTACTATTTATATATTGATAACATTGATCACACATAAAGGTTGAAGTATATAAAAATGCCAATCCAAAATTTAGTAAGGTAGGGTTAATTCGTTGAGCAGACAATTTAAAAATAAAATAGCTAGAAACTGAAAATTAATATATCGATAAATTTTGCTTTTATTGAATTATCATAATGCGATTACTATTTACAAAAAAAAATAAGTGCTCTTTCTAGTCTTTTAAATCTAATCAATAATTAAAATAATATTTTTAGAATAAATTCCATTAAATTATACTAAATTTTAAGAGAAAAAAGAGGAGCTTCATTACGAGATAAAGAATTTTAATAATTACTTTGATTTTTCTATGAATATTAGAATACATATTTTTCTAGATTTATAATAATCCTTTATAAATTTACAGCATTATCTGATACGAATTAATATAAGAAGTCTGAAACTCTTTACATTCATTTTATCTCATATAATATTCATCGTAGCCAAAATTACAATCGTTTATAAAAATAATATGTTTTACACATATCATCATATTTATGTTTTTTTCTAATATACAACTATTCACTATTAATAATTTGCTATTGGTTAAAGATTCACTACCACAGTTAAATAAAGGAGAATGAATCTGGAATGATATAGATATGTATTTTATAGAGTTTTGAATAATAAATTCGAGTATTGATAATTTATATTTAAATAATGTTAACGAAAAATTAATATGCATAACTTCCAGTTCAATCTGTTTTATACCAATAATAGACTTAAACTAATTTAAAAACTTTCTACTTAGCAATTTTAATCATCTATCTAACTAAAGATGATACAGTTGATCTTAATTACTATTTTAATATTCTTTTGTCATAAATAGCTTTAATTTTAAATAATATTATATATATCACCTTAAACTTCAATGGTATATTAACAACAAGCAGCCTAGAGTCAGATGTATACATAATAAAATCAACATGTCAAAACAATATAATAATACCACACATATATAACAAATGAATTCAAATAGGCATCATGCTCATGAATATAAAATACCTCAATATATAATAATAAATAGTTGTTGATCCATAATAACCTATTATTACTGTTTCACAGTAAATTATTGTTGCTGCTGCTCCTCCTCCTTAATAGCCAGAAATTAATGAGATGTATGATGTAGAAAGAGAATTGCAAGTGCTTTCTATTGAAGATGTAGAAGAACCTTGGAAAAAGAAATGCGTTGAATTAGAAATTAAAATATTCGATTTGTAAACAGAATTAGCCAGATATAAAATTTAAGGATAAGAATTGAAGGTTACATCAAATGAAGAATTTTAAGTGAAAGAATTGGAAGCAAAAATCAAAATGATGAAAGACATAGAAGATGGTTAGAGAAAAGAAATAAAAAGTCAATAAAATGAAATTGACTCTCGGAGATAGATATATTCCAAATTGCAATTAGTTTTAACAATTACTTTAAGATGGAGAAGAAATCAGATAGTTAAGAGATGCTTTAGCAGAAAAAGAAAGGCAAATCTTGAAATTGGAAAATGTATTAAATTCTGAGAATGTGGAAATGCAAAATTACATGAGATTAATTTAGTAAATTTGTCAATTAATATATTAGGAATAAATTTTAATAGATTGCATAATTTGAAATTAGAGCAAGAAATGAGTGAATATCAATAGATTACAAAAAAAATGAAATATTATTCAAATGAAGCAGATATTTGAAAAGAAAGATTCATGAAAGCAAATTAAGATTTTCGCTCTGCTTAAGAATAGTAGATGATTGCATAAGCTAAATTAGATTCTTTGAAAAAATAAAAACCCATTACTACAACTGTATAATAATCTAATACAAGATCTAGTAAGACTGGTGGCCGATAATATTGAATTATTATATCATTATTTATTTTTGAACTGTTTTCTTACTCTTTCATGCCAACATTACCTTTCATCCAATTCGCATTGATTCTCATTACCAAATCTAGCATAAAATTTCAACATGTAATCTTCTAAACAATCATTTTGACAACCAAATGCATAAGCTGTCACCAAAACTTCAATAGCTATTTATCGTATATCACAAAATACACTCATGATACAAATAATAGATTTGGCCTAAATATTTTGATATATATATATTAAATAATTAATCAAATAAATAGATTTTTTTTAATTTATGATTTATGCAATACTTATTAATAATAATCATTAAAATAATGGATTGATTACAATTTACGATTATCCTCTGCAATTTTATATCAATTTTTATAATAAATCTTTGCAGGCCCAAATTAGTTCTATCATGATACCTTTAGATGGTATGATTACTAGAAACCATCCCAATAAAATTTTTTTCTATTCATTAAAAAATTCATTACACTCTTAGATGTATAAGAATGAACTAAGGATAAAAGTCAATACTGATATTTCGACCACCATTTAAACAATATAATTTCTTTAATTAAAAATAAAACGATAATAAAATATTAATCTAATCTAAAGTATGCTTGTCATACGGAGTAATCCTAATTAAAGAATTTCGGAACTTTAAAGATAAATCAAAAATAATAATAAGAAAAATTACCTACCAAAATTTAGTATTTGAAAACTTTAGTAGCTGTTCTTCAATGATTACTTTTATTTACTTTTGAAAAAATCTAGGAATATGGTAAAATAAAGGATAAGAAATACGCTTGCAATAATAATTTGTACAAAATCTAAGTAATTTTTTGTTTTAATGTTTCGTGTATACAATAATGTTTTAAATATCATATCCCAACCATTGAGAAATAATTCGTTTTATAATCCTTAAAAATCATAAATCTTTTCAACTTAATTAATTCTAAACAAATGTTATAAAAGGATTAACTACACTTAAAAATTACTTTTGGATTTATATATAATGATAATGATGTCATATTGTTAAAGTACCTTAAACAAAATATCCAATTGTACAAAGCCATTTTAGCCATTGAGACAACAAAATAAAGAATATAGTTTGATATTATAGAATTAACTTATAAAAATATTATGAATTTCAATATTGGACTTGAAAGATTGATGATCAAATTAGTGTTTTAATTATATGCGTTAAATTTTCCTTCACAATATTAATATTAAAAAACTAAAAAATTTGAGGAAAATAGATGAAATCCAGGAGAGGCTAAATAGTTATCATAAACAGAAAAATAAATCTCCATATTTTATGGGTATTACTGATTAATGTATTTTAAGTATTGCTAGAATTAAGAAATTGCCATAATTTCAAAAAATAAATCAACACTTCCAAATAGTAGATTTATTCCAGTAATTCCAGACAAACTAAAAATCATATATTTATTAAGGTTTTTCAAATTTTAAGAATAATCCATTTGTTTTTCATCAAGAAATTTTGTATATTTCAAAGTGATTGATTTTTCAAAAACATCTAAGATAACATCATCTATATTAGAAACAGTCTAATTTACTATAATTTTTAAGACTGGCCTAAATTCAAGTAATTATTATATTTCAATTGAGATGATAAATTCTCCAAAACTTACATTTGATCCAACATCCTTGATAATATATAAGTTGCTATTCCAGTTCTTCTTTTCTATATTTGATATTTCAAAATTATAGTTTCTGATAAGGGTTAACCTCTTAAATTTTTACTTTTAAATTAAATTATATGCTTATTTACTTTTTATTTTAAGTCATATTGAGATAGTTAATTACTAAAATTGGAGCTTGGACAAATGAGCATTAGCTTTAAGTATCTCTTGTGATTGTAATGCATATCCAATTTTGTTGAATTAAACAATCCTTGCATCCATCCTCTGCTAAATAATTTCCATCATCGCAATCCTCTGATTCCTAAAGCAATCCATCTCCACAATTTAATTAATATTTGCATTAATTAGAAATTAGTAATTAGTTTTGGTAATTGCACTCTAAACAAGTACCTTAAGAGCAATCAAAGCAATTTTCTGAACAAGAAAAACTTGCAATTAAAACAACCATTATAAAGTCGCAAATTACCATTATCGCAATTCTCTTCTTTTGTGATTATTTGATCACCACAAACAGAAAGACAACTATTATTAA